ACTGAGCCACCCAGGCACACCAAACATTAATATTTTCATATCATGTATCTGTTGTTATAGGAAAATTCCTTTGTGTAACTAGATTTTCAGTGTAGGGGACCATCTTGGATATGACCCTTTTTCTATCCTTGGCTTTATAGATATCCTAAACATTTGTCAAATCAATAAAAAAAAATATTAGGCACCAATTAAGTCCCTGGAACAGCACTAGATGCTGAGAATACAAGAGTGAATCAGCTAGACTTCTATCTCTATGTTTATTGAGCTTACACTAAAGTCAAGTTATTGGATTATTATAATATACTTTGTGGTACTTGCCATGGAAAATTCTTTGCTCTTCTAAGTCAAGCTGAGTTCCAAAGTTGGCTCCATTTATGTATTTCATTATATATGGCCATGATCTTTCCCTTCTCTCCAGAAATTCTTCAGCAATGATATTCATTAGTTCTCTTCATTGATATTTCTAATTCTCATTCTTCAAGGGAACACAGTAGCATTGCACTTTCCCATATGCAGTAGACTGCAAAAGTGGCAAATTATTTCTTTTCCCCTATCTGCATCCATTTGCAATTTGTCTTCCAGCTCTTTGTGTTAATATAGCTTGGCTATATGATTTGCTTTAGCTGTTGGAACTGTAGCAAATGTGACTCAAGCTGAAACTTATAAAGTGCTTGTGTACTGGGTCTTGCTCTCTTGCTGCTCTTAGAACACTGTGAATGCAACCCTGTGAACAAGCCAGGGCTAGCCTCTTGATGATGAGGGACACCTGGCCTGATTGCTCTGTTGTCCCAGCTGATAGCTCACTCCCAGAAACAGAGCTGCCTTGCTGACAGGCAGCTAATCACAGATACCTAAGGAAGTGCAGCGCAGGCCAGCAGAAGTGTCTGGCTGAGCCTAATACAAATTGCCATTCCATAGAATCATGAACTAAATGAATAGTTGATGTTTTAAGCTATTAAGTTTTGGAGTGGTTTGTTATGCCCTTAAAGCCATCTGATATATCACTCCTTTGAAATTAGGCACAGCCACATGATTTGCTTCACCCAGTGAACTATGTCACTTCTGGCAGAAGCCTTTAAGAGCTGGACTGTGATTCAGCATCTTATTTTTCTTGTCATGGTGACTAGGGTGCTTCCAGATGGTGGGGTTTCATAAACCTGGGTCGTTTAATGGACATGGGACAGTCCTCCCCATCCTCCCTGATACTGACTTTTGGAGAACATACAGTTTAAGTAAGAAATCTTTGTTATGATGAACATTGGGTGTTATATGTAAGTGATGAATCACTAAATTCTATACCTGAAACCAATTTTACCATATATGTTCACTTACTAGAATTTTTAAAAATATTTTATTTATTTATTTGAGAGAGAGAGCGAGCAAGCAGGGGGAGCAGCAGAGGCAGAGAGAGAAGCAGACTCCCTGCTGAGCAGGGAGCCCAAGGCGGGACTCCATCCCAGGACCCCAGGATCACGACCAGAGCCGAAGGCAGACGCTCAACCGACTGAGCCACCCAGGCGCCCTCACTAACTAGAATTTAAATAAAAACTTGAAATTAAAAAAAAAAACTTTGTATTAAACCTCTGAGATTTGGGTTTACTGTTACTAAAGCATAACCTAGTCCATTCTGACTAATGTAGAAATTGGTACCCAGGAGGTATAGTTATGACAGAAAACTTAAAATATGTAGCAGTGACTTAGAAACTCAGTGGGTGGTGGCAAGGAGACTATTGTTAGAGTCTGGAAAGTTGGCAATCCATGCTGGCTGTGGTAAAATATTTGCTAAAACTATTCATGTGTGTCTCCCATTCTTCCCCTTTCTAAATAGGAATGTTTACCATGGTTATTTTGTCCCTATTCCAGCACTACATGTTGAGTGTGCATATGTGTATAAACAGGGAGGATAGATACTTTCTCTTTAACAAGAGAAGCTTTATCCTGTTCTAATTTAGGGACTACCAAGCATCACCCAGAGATGCTGAACTTTGAAATTAATGCCATTACTGAATAAAATTTTTGATTGTCTCATTTGTGAAAGGAGTTAAAGTATTTTGTAGTTTAAGTTGAATAACTGTAAATTGATGACCAGAAGAATGAATTGCAGTAAGCATTGGTCAGTTCACCAGTAAATTTGGGTTATCTTCCTTCTGGACAAATAGAATTATACTTCCCTGTCCCTTTGAAGTTAGCATGCCCATAAGATTTGCTTTTGTCAAAGAAATGTGAGTGGAATTGACTTGTATAACTTTCAGGAAGAACCAGTTTGCCATTCATGTTCTTTTTGCATATCATGCAAGTGGGGAAGTTCTAGAGATTGGAAACTTCTCAAGCCTTCTGGTTGCTTGATGAGAACCATCTGCAGTGAAACTCCTCTGCCTCCCCACCCCAAACCCAGCTCCCCATGAGCAGGCAGGTAAGCAGGAAATATGTTCTTTGTTGCTGTTTTAAGCCTCTACAATTTTTAGATTTTTTGTTACTGCACTATAACCTAGCCCATCCTAACTAATGTAGATTACTGTAAAAGTGATCATGAAAACTTCAAAGGCCGATCATCTTGGCAATTGAGTGGAATCTGTAACTGAAATTATCCACTGATAATTCCCAAAGCACTTTCACTAGTGATTTCACTTGCTTCTTCAATTGTGACCATTCTGGAAAAGGTGACTGTGAAATTCAAATTTCATTCTTTTTTCTTTGTGAAATGTAAAACTACATCTTCACTATTGAAAGGTAATGATGAACAATGAAATACTTTCTCCTAAAAAAAAAAGTAAGCAAGCAAGTAAGCAGGCCAATAAGGATAAGCCACAAAAAAGGGAGGGTGAAACTGAATGCATAGGAGTTTCCAAGAAGAGTAAAGCATATTTCCCAAAGACTTGTGCATAAATTTCCACTAATACACAGTACTTCCCAGCAAACTTTGGGAGTCTTAGCTTTGGCTTGACACCTGCACATATACAGAAATCCATGCACTCTGGTGCAGAAATGAAAAAAATGTCATTGGAGTTTATATCCAATCAAAAGTTTTCACAAAAAAAAAAGAAAGAAAGAAAGAAAAAGTTTTCCCTCTCTCTGAAGAAGAAATATTTTCTCTAGCACAGCGTAGAATTTATTTCATCACATTTGTGAAGTGCTAAATCCCGTGCCACCCACTGTACGAAGGTCATGAAAGTGAGAGATGCCAATATACGGACGTCTCAATGGGTCGCTGTCCTACAGGAGCTTACATTTTGCGGAGCATAACAGTTTCTTTTTTTGGAGTTTTCACTCAGCCACACCCAATCCCCCGGTAAACAATTTTCAGTGAAAATCCCCCCATCTTTTCCCTAATCCTTGCAAATATTCTCGCTTTCCTAGATCTCTTCACCCTGGAAACTGAGGTCACTGTGGGATCTCTCTCTGGATATATGGCAGTTATTTCTGATGCAGCCGAATGGCCGGCTTGATCTTTCCCTGCGGTGGCGGGATGACAGTGACCCCCAAAGTTTCCAGCACTTAAGGCACAAAGCGCAGCCTGAACCCTAAAAGGGCAGACAACTCTGGCGGTTTCCACCGCTCTTCTTATCGAGGAGCCCAGGGAAGCTAAGGCGACTGGGTCAGATTCGGCGACGCGGGCTACGCAGTCCTGTGCTCAGCGAGTTGGAAGCTAAGCGCACAAGCTGCACAGCGCAAAGAAGTCAAGGCCAGTCTGCAAGCCCACTGTGAGAGAACTGGTGAGTGCCCATTCCTGCTGGACTACAAGGACCGGCATGCATCGCGTAGCGGCGGCAAGCTCCACTCCGGGGCCCCGGCGCAACGGAGCCTGGGAAGTGAAGTCTCCGGGCTGCCCGAGTCCCGTCGCGAAATCAGAAGGGAGGCGTTGCTAGTCCGCTCCACGCCGGTTTCTGGCCGGGCTCCGAGCCTCTCGCTCCCGCTCAGGATTTTCGCGGGCGGCGGCGGGAGCAGTATGGCTTGCTTGAGTAAACTCCGCGGGGAGGAGGGAGATGGGAGTGGATGGGGAGGCGGGGTCAGCGGAAGCTGCAGGTTGCTTCCTTCTCCTCACGCTCCCTCCCCGCCTCTCCCTGAGGGAGCGGTGGGAGGGGGAGGGAAGGGCATAGGGAAGGTAGTGACACGTGTCAATCAACCCCCCTCCGGGGGGCGCGCGCTCCGGGGCTCGCGCCGAGGGCTCGCGCCCCTGCCTCGTGCCTGCGCCGCTCGTATGTAAATGAGGGCGCGTGACGCGGGACGCAGATGGACAAGGGAAGAGAGAGAATGGCCGCTGCCGCCGCCGCTGCTGCCGCCGCCGCCGCCGCTCAGTGCCGGAGCCCTCGGTGCGCGGCGGAGAGGAGAGGATTCCGGCGGGAACTCGACTCTTGGCGCCACCGCCTCATGCACTGTGTAGGTAAGAGAGACACGGGCCGGAGCCCCGGCTCTGCGCGGCGACGGCTGCCGCAGCCCGAGGAGTTTGTGGCTGAGGGGGTTAGTTGAATCTCCCGTTCGGGTCAGTTCAATGGGGGAGCGCGATGGGAGCGGCGGCGGCGCGGCGGCTCCGGCGCTCGCCTTTTGTCTGGGGGCTTCTCGCCCGGCGCGGTTCGCGCTCCTTCCCTTCTCAGCTCTTGGGCTTCTCAGGAACTGTTAGTTCGGACCCGCTCGCTGAGCCCCCGAGGAAACCGCTCGCTCGCGCTCTCCCCGAAACTCCGCGGCGCCCCTCGCAGCCCGCCGTCCACCCTGTCGGGGGGCAGGCAGCGGCCCGGTGGGTCGGCCTTGGGACAGAGGGGAGCCGGCTGGCAGGGCCGGCGGGAGGAAGGCGGGCTGGTCCGCGCCCCCGCCGGGCGCACACACACCCCCTTCTCGCCGCCGGGGGCCGGGCTGGCGGACGCGGCCGAGTTCCCGGGGACTGGGACT